CTTCTGCCCCACCACCGCCACCCGCAGACAACACCTGTGGTGCAGAAGAGAGTCTCTCGGGAGACCCCTTCGATCCTGGGCCGACAGACCCAGACCCAGAACCTAATCTACCTCTTCTTGATAATGAAAAGGCAGAGGCAATGGGGAATAACATAACACTTTCGAGCGGCTGTCATGGTGTGTGGGACAAATGTCAAAAAGAAGCCTTAGCTAAAGGTGACACAGACATTTTGCAAGTGTTTCCTGTTATTCATCACGGAAATCGACCCGGAGCGTGGGAAGCTTTGGACTAAAAAGCCCCAAGTCCCTCAGCCTCTCCTCATAAGAGAGATGCCCCTCTTGGCCGGGTGCTCCCATACAATCCTTGCCCCTGAAGCAGCCCCTCAGCAAGGAAAAGACCATTTTTTCCACCATTACAACTGGGCGGTGGCAAATACAGTGGCTATCAACCTTATGCAATATTCACTGTGTTTCAGTCGCATTAGAAAGCTAAAATCTACTGGGAGAGAATCATCATAGAATCACAGAATGGTTTGGGTTGGAAGGGAACTTAAAGATTATCAAGTTCCAACCCTCCTGCCCTGGGCAGGGACACCTCCCACCAGACCAGGTTGCTCCAAGCCCCATCCAGCCTGGCCTTGAACCCCTCCAGGGATGGGGCAGCCACAGCTTCTCCGGGCAACCTGTTCCAGGCTCTCACCACCCTCACAGCAAAGAATTTCTTCCTAATACCTGATCTAAATCTCCCCTCTTTCAATTTAAAACCATTACCCCTCATCCTGTCAATCAATGAATTGAGAATCAATGAGAAACCAACACTCCCCTCTTTCAATTTAAAACCATTATCCTGTCAATCAATGACTTGAGAATCAATGAGAAACCAATGGTCCCTCTCCTGCTCCTCACCACTGCTTTTCCACCTGTCCTCGCTGTCCTCTCCCCTCCATCTCTGGCCCTCTCCATCTTCCTGCCCACTCCTCATCAGGATTTCGGCTCCCTCTGCCCCCTGCCTGGCTCCCCCCTGCTCTCCCCGTCCCTCTGTCCCCTCCCAACCCACCACCGCCCTCTCCCACCCCTCTCTGCCGCTCTCTCCCTTCCTCCTCCCGGCTACACCGGGGCTCAGGGCCCTGACACCCCCGGGGCGTGGCCCTGACAACCGGGGGTAGGCGGCCATGGCTCCTGTTGCACTCAGAGGGCAGGAAGGGGTGCCCCGGGGCATGCCGGGAGCTGTAGTCCTGTCACGCTTCTCTTAGTAACCAGTGTTCACTCCCAGAGCATGCCGGGAGCTGTAGTCCCGGCACGGGGCTCCCGGCGGCCATGTTGATTTCCGGCCGTGCCCGCAGCCATCATCTTCCCCCACAGGCCCGGCCGCCATGTTGGCCTGGGGAGGGGCAGTCTCTGCCTCGCTGCCTTCAGTTGGAGCTTTGCTGAGGGTAGGCGAGATCAAAACACCACTTTTGCTCAGAGCAGATTGCTCTCTTGTTCTTTCTGCAGCTTCCAAAAAGCTTTGTGGGCAATTAGCCGGTTCTCCACTTCTCCAGAGTTTAAATAAGTCCCGGCACGGGGCTCCCGGCGGCCATGTTGATTTCCGGCCGTGCCCGCAGCCATCATCTTCCCCCACAGGCCCGGCCGCCATGTTGGCCTGGGGAGGGGCAGTCTCTGCCTCGCTGCCTTCAGTTGGAGCTTTGCTGAGGGTAGGCGAGATCAAAACACCACTTTTGCTCAGAGCAGATTGCTCTCTTGTTCTTTCTGCAGCTTCCAAAAAGCTTTGTGGGCAATTAGCCGGTTCTCCACTTCTCCAGAGTTTAAATACAGTACCTGGATGGGATAAGCAGGACCAAGCAGATGTTTGGTGCTGCTAACACTCTCAGAAGCATAATAATCTCTTTGCTGCGGCTGCTAAAAAAGCACCCATGTGTTTTTCATAACAAGAAGTCCAGCTTCCAAAAAGCTTTTTGGGCAACTGGGCCAAAAAGCTCCACTCCACTTCTCCAGAGTTTAAATGCAGTACCTGGATGGGATAAGCAGGACCAAGCAGATGTTCGGTGCTGCTAACTCTCTCAGAAGCATAATAATTTCTTTGCTGCGGCTGCTGAAAAAGCGCCCACGCATTTTTCATAACAAGAAGTTGCAGGTTCTCAGGAGGCAGATCAACCATTCCACCTCGCTCTTCCCTAAATCTGATTTACAAGCAAAGGGCCAGCCTGAAAATCCCAGAAATGGAGATTTTGAGAAGTGCTGGGCGGCGCTATGGCAGAGGTGCTGCCTTTCCCTGACCACACACACCGGCTTTCCATGCACAGCCGTAACCTCCTCCACTTCTGCTTCCCATCGGGGCCGGGAAGATCCATCAATTTGTTATCATAGAATCATAGAATTGTCCAGGTTGGAAGGGACCTCTAAGATCATCGAGTCCAACCATCAACCTAACTCTGATACAACCATCCCTAAACCATGTCTCTAAGCACTATGGCAACCCAGCTTTGAAATGCCTCCAGAGATGGTGCCTGAACCCCTTCCCTGGGCAGCCTGTTCCAAGGCTTAATAAGCCTTTCTGTGGAAAAATTGGGCAGCCTGTTCCAAGGCTTAATAACCCTTTATGTGGAAAAATTGTTCCTAATATCCAACCTGAACCTCCCCTGGGGCAACTTGAGGCCATTTCCTCTTGGGAGAAGAGACCGACCCCCCCTGGCTACACCCTCCTTTCAGGGAGTTGTAGAGAGCGAGAAGGTCTCCCCTCAGCCTCCTTTTCTCCAGGCTGAACACCCCCAGCTCCCTCAGCCTCTCCTCACAAGACTTGTGCTCCAGACCCCTCACCAGCTCCGTTGCCCTTCTCTGGACCCGCTCGCTCCAGCCCCTCAATGTCTTTTTTTTTGGTGAAGGGCCCAAAACTGGACACAGCCCCCAAGGTGGGGCCTCACCAGTGCCCAGTACAGGGGGACGATCACCTCCCGAGTCCTACTTGCCATGCTGTTCCTGACACAGGCCAGGATGTTGTTGGCCTTCTTGGCCGCCTGGGCACACTGCTGGCTCATGTTCAGGCGACCAACACCCCCAGGTCCTTTTCTGCCAGGCAGCTCCAGCCACTCTGCCCCAAGGCTGTGGAGCGTTCATGGGGTTGGTGTGACCCAAGGGCAGGACCCAGCAATTGGCCTTGTTGAACCTCATCCCATTGGCCTTGGCCCACTGACCCAGCCTGTTCAAATCCCTCTGTAGAGCCTTTCTACCCCCCAGCAGATCAACACTCCCACCCAACGTGGTGGTGTCTGTGAACTTACCAAGGGAGCACTTGATCCCCTCACCCAGATCACCCCTCACTGTCCCAATACCGAGCCCTGGGGGACACCACTCGTGACCGGCTGCCAACTGGATTTAACTCCATTCACCACAACTCTTTGGGAATGGCCCTCCAGCCAGTTTTTAGCCCAGGGGAGAGTAGTCCCACCCAAGCCATGGGCAGCCAGTTTCTCCAGGAGGATACTGTGGGAGACTGGATCAAAGGCCTCATCATGGCATCATTCACTTCAGCTGCCATCAACTCTTCCTTTCCATTGATCCCATTGCATACATAAACCCAATTACAGGATTAAAAAAAGCTGTGAGCAGGGCAGTGATTCCCTCGGTGGGAGATGTGGAGGAGAAAACAAACAGTGTGGCTGGGTTTTGGGGGAGGTTGGTTGGGGTTTGGGGTTTTCTTAATGGGAATGGCCATTCTCTGTTGGAAGTAATAAAAGTGCAGTGAGTCATTGGGGCCATCAGAATTTATACCCTTTATTTCTTGAACTGGAGGGGGCAGACAGGCAGGGCACTTCATGTGTGGCCAGGGAAAGCACTGGCTGGCAGCAAGTGGGCTCTTGGTGATACCAGCTGTGGAAGTTTCACCACTCCGGTCTCCACCTGCACCTCTTAGAAAGCCTTGTATCTGTAGCTCCAGGATTCGATGAGTAAGATTTCTGTGAACTTTCCTCCTCTTTTATTTTAAATGATTCTTCTGGTACATTTAAGGGAGCATTTCTTACCTTTCCTGCTCACAACAGCTCCTCTTTTTTCTCTAGGTGACAAGCTGGGAGCGATAGAAGCCATGTTTCTCCCTGGCTGAGCTCCATGAGAGCCCCTACCTCGAGCTGTGCCTCAGGACAGGACAGGAGTCGCTCACTGTGTCACACTGCCAGTGGTACGGGTTTGGTTCCTCGTCCTGCTCACCAGACTCCAACCTGAACTGTCTACAGTGATTTCACAGCCTGTTTACCCTTTCACACCGCATGCTCGCGCTGGCATTGCTTCTCTGCTCGTGCATGAGGGCAATCGGTGCCCACTAGTTCCAGACAGGACGGCGCAGGGCAGGTGAGCAAAATCAGAAGATGGGCCACACATAGGGACGTTGGAGACTTCTGTCTGGGTGTTGGCGATGGGAACTTCGCAGTCCTCGTCCTCCACGCATCATTGTGCCTTTTGACCTTGCTCAGCAAGTATTCTGCTTCTGCCCCTGCCAGTCAGACCTGGAAAATGCCAAAAGGAGGTTAGAATATTAATGCAGGTGCTTTTACACCTTGGCATCCTTTGTAGGTTACCACAACGCTTCGCTTTCAGGCTACAGTGTTGTCTAAAGCTTAGTAGAGAACCGGAGAATTAAAAGTGTAGTTTTTAACAAGTCCAGGAAAGGGTGTGCAAGGGTAAATCCTTGGATTTCATGGCAAGGAGTGGCCGCTGCTTTGGCACGGTCTGAAAGCTGCCTGCTTTGTGAGCAGCACCAGGAGGCTACGGTTTCTTCCAGTTTCTCCCAAGAACAGCAAAGTGGCTGTGACCCAGCAGCTCTGCCCATGCCTGTGCTGTTACAGCACCCACCTTGCCCAGCAGGACCATGACGTTGCTGCCTCCTGTCCTGCAGAACGACCTCTGGGGCGGCCTCTTCTTCTCTCACACAGAGCTCACCCCCATCCAGGATGTGCTCCAGCTCGTTGATGGAGAGCCCCAGAAACTCTGGTCATCTCCTCAAAGCAATGGAGGATGAACACCTGGGCTGCTTCTTGCAGGTAGGAGCAATAGTGACCACCTGCGAATCTCCAGATGCCCAGGCAATTTTCCAAGCACAGCGGGGATTTTAAGAACTCGCAGCACAGTCTGACAGCCCCCAGGACATTGAACTGGTCGGCTGCAGTCAGCAAACTTTGAACGTTGCCAGCTGTCACCAGTGCCATCGCCGTGTAGGTGTACTCCATAACGAGCCATGTCATTTCAGGTGGAGCGTTGAAGCTTTTATAGACTCTCTTCTCTGCGTTGCTCCAGTTGCTGGAAAACAAAGCCCTGAAATGAAAAACAAAGGAGGGTTTTGGGTCTCCGGGATGATAGGGCAAGCCCCTCTGCCCAGTCACTGCTCGGGGGAGGCACTGGGGCTGTCACTGATCCTTTTCCTGGCAGGGACAATGCACCTGGAAGCACTTTGGCTCCTTGGTGGAGCTGCTGGGGCCTCTCACTAGGGATCCCTGGTGATGTCCCATTCCTGGGAGGGAATGGGGAAAAAGGTACTCATTTGCTTTCACTCCCCAGCCCTGCCTTGGGTGGGATGCCCTAGGAGGGTCACCCTGAGTCCCACCTCCCCAGGGCACTTCCAGCCACAGGGGGAAGTCTGGGAATTCCCCCACTGCTGGGGAAGAGCAGGATGTTGTTTCCAGCCCCGGGGACTCTCTCTCCCTCTGTGTCTGAGCCCCTCACACCAAGGAGAGGTGGGACGGTCAGACAAATAGCTCAGATGTGCTGTTTGGCATTTTGGGGGTGCCTTTCCCCTTGCTGCCAAGGGGCAGCTCTTCCTGCAGTTTCCCCAAACCTGCCCCTTCCGGGGAGGAAATCTCCTGCCCAGGACCAGAGGGGAAATAATCTCCCTGGGTCCTGCACATCCCCTGGCTCCCTCCATCCTCTGGCTTCTGAATCTCTCAGCTACACACACCACCAACAGCAGGAAGGTGACGATATCACCTCCTCTGTGGCCAGTGCTGCTGGGCTCAGAGTCCCCTCAAGTTCCCTTCCTGGTCCACAGAGGTGGAGCAGAGCTGTGCCAAGGTCTCTCCTGGTTCTCATTTCTCTCCAGGTTGTCCCAGACCTCCCCCCAGCTCCCCCAGGGCTCCTCTGCCATCCATTCCTGCACGTCTCAGAGACAGGCATACAGCAAGCAGCAGGACAAGGCAGAGGACAGTCCCCCCACAAAGCTCCCCAGAGCTGCTGCAGAAGAGACCACGCTCCCTGGCCACGGCCACCCAGCACCCAAGGGCCCTGCTGGAGCCTGGAGTGGACACAGAGGCTGTAGGCACCTGCTTCTGCTCCTCTCCAGGCAGAGCTGAGGGTCTGCAGGGCTCTGCAGGGAAATTGGGGTCCTGGCATCGAGCAGGGGGTGCTCAGTGTCCCCAGCCCTGCTGTGCCTGGCAGGGATCCTCACTCACCCACCTGCAGCAGCTCCACCTCGTAGGGCTCCGGTGGAGAAAAGGGTCGGAAAACAGTATTCCTACCTGATAGGAACTGCGGAGGAAATGAAGTTAACTGAAGGACATACTAAATTTTCCAAACTACAGATGCCTCTACTTGCAGATCCATTAGCCTTACAACAGCCTTTAAAGTCCTCACCAATTTTGAAGGCACCGCCCCTCATGAGGGAGGTAGACTTCTACGTAGCCTCCTGAGCTGTGTGGGCCAGTGCCACACCATGGCTCTGCCAGTGGGAAACCCTGAACTGAGGAGAGAACAGATCTCCAGCCTGAGGAACTCAAGATTGGCAATTAGTACTGGCTGTAGCCAGAAAACCAGCGTTCAGGATGGGATGGGTGAAGCTCACGCCAAGTACGAGAAAAACCAGCCACAAAGCGCGACCCAGAAGTGGATGAGTTGACTAAAATTCAGGAAATAAAAGTAGGGATCGCCTCAAATCCCGCGTGGTGTCGGTTGCGGAGTGGCTCCATCAAAAATTAGGTCCCATGGGTAAAGAAACGCTTTGCACAGAGCAAGGGTTGGTCCTGAACAGGAGAACTTGTGAAGTTATTCTCACAGGACTAGATTGAAATTACAAGCCCATCACCCTGCCCAAGCACCACCTCTGCACATCAACGAAGGAAGGACTTTATGGTCTACGTGGCCCAAACAAGAAAACATCTAAAGGTTTGCTTCCACGTGGAATGTGCTGTCTTTGAGCTCGGCCCTGGGGAGAGGGAAAAAAAGGTGGTTTTTAAGGATGAGGTTGCCAGGAAAGCCTGGAGACCAAGGTTTGTGGGGTGATAAAAGTGGTTCCCAGAGGGAGGAGGAAGAGGGAACAGTTCTCCCTGCTGGCATCTCGGGTGTTGGAGCAATCTCTGGACATCTCCTACTTTTGAGCCTGGCCATAGAGAGCCAAAAAAGGTGTTTTTGAGGATGAGGTTGCCACAAAAGCCCGGAGCCCCAAGGTTTTTGGGGTGCAGTGAGTACTGTAGGGCTGGAGAAAACAAGGTTGGGCAGGGGCTTGAGCTGAGCCAGTGGAGAACTGGGTCTAAAATAAAAGACACCAGAGATGGGGCTAGAATATATTTCAGGGTGGGCAGGGAGCTGAAATAAAGACCCCTGTGGCTGAAATGGCGGGGCTGGAGAAGAAATGACCCGGGGTTGAATGGAAAATAAAGATAACGGAGCTGGGGCTGAA